AATAAATAAAAAGTCGCACTCCCGGTGAGAGCGCACTCCAACTCATGGAGGCCAGAAGGCGACATAGGTTTTGCGCAGGCGCAACAACTTTAGCCATGTGATCCTCCTAGCCTCTCATGTCTTTCTATCGATACTTTTTTACTGCCCGAAGCTTGCAGTAGCTAAAGCTGAGGTGCTGTTTATGAAACTACAATGAAACATTGTTTTTTTAGTTTTAAGACTCAATAAAGTCAAAAGTAAGTACGTCACTTCAAATTTTATTTCAAAACTTTCGGGGCTTCATGTATTCGTGCGACAGCCATTCACCGTTTCAAATGATGAGGAATTGCTCTCAAAACGTCCCCCACAGCCATGGTCCGTCGGTTCTCATAAAAAAGGCGGACCTTCACATTCCTTTCCGCTATATGGCCATCTTCTGGCGAGGAGGCTTTTGGGAACTCAGCATCGCCTCCAGCTTGTCTTCCGTCAGTTGATGTTCTGTGGCGATGCAAGTCAAAAATTTCCAGAACCGGGATGGGCACCTCCGACCAGCTTAGGGAAAAGGGAATGCCGCCCTGGCGTTCGATAAGACGGCGTTCGATAAAACGGAGTTCGATAAAGCGGCTTCGATGAAACGGTGTTCGATGAAATGGCGTTCGATGAAACGGCATTCGATGAAACGGCTTTGATGAAACGGCGTTCGACGGAACGGCGTTCGATAAGATGTCCGGTCCCATGCTCGAGGCTAGTGTAATTCCCAGCCTGCAGCAGTCACTCACTGTTGCGAGAGCACGCCTTGCTCTTCATTTGTCAGTACCACCTGTTGACGTCATCACGGTAACACGATCGAAGACCAATATCACTGGAATACCTCAGTTGTGGAACTCCCTCTTGAAGAGGAAACCGGGCAACGTCATATCTCAGCAGACTCCCCCCCCCCCCTCCTCCAGCCCAGGCCTGACCCATAAATCTGTCCCTATACCCCCCCCCCCCCCCCCCGCTCTCCCTCGCTCACTTCAGTCCGCCTCCCGTCATTTGAAGTGCAACTAACATTTTTGTTTCGAAACTGCGCGTTCCATATAGAGTACGGTGGGATGCCATCTAGACGCCGTGCTTCGAACCGTACGTATTCTATGGAATACATATGGCAGCCGTCCGGCGCTTCGAATGACGGGAGGTGAGCCGTGGGGTCAGAGAGGGGGCGAGGTACCGCTTGTGCAAGCAGCGCGTCGATCGTCAAGTTCCATAAGCGAGCAAACCCAATACCGTTGGCAAAGACACAGATTGAACACGAGTATTCCGTCCGCGTTCTGCTGTGGGCCTCGTGACAAATCAACGCGTCGAAGGACGCTGGGCATCGGGCTTGAGTCTGTTGCCGAGTTGGTACTGTCCGACTCCATGACCATGCGGGAAGAGGAGGATGTTTGCAGTCGTTAATCATTCTATAGACCAAAACACACTGTTTACAGACGAGCCGGCTTTGCCCACACCTAGTTAGGGCACTGCGCTTTCGCAGAAACCAGATATGCGAGAGATGATGCATCTGCGCATGCGCGGTGCCGACAGCAGCACTACCGCAGTGGCGTTACGTCATCAGAGAGTCGCGTTTCGTTTTTCGTTTCAGCTTAAATCCAGACGAAGCCGATGCTACGAGCTAATGAGAGCTATGAAGCAGAGTTAAAAGCGCAAGTCACTGGGCCTTTTTTTTCGTTTATGCTTGGTGCAGCGATAATAGAACCCGTACATAAACGTGACAAACACCACGATGGTTCCGTTTTGACGCCGTCTGATCGGTGACATCACCTCCTAGCGTTGGAGCTTATCTTATGGTCTATATGTGTTCAAAGGAGCAGTATCACATCGAACACACCAATATCTTGTTAAAAAAAGTCAAACAAAAAGGAATTTTAAAACGAATTAAACGATTAGCAAAGAGCACCTGATGGATGTCACTCCTTGTTTGTAATGCCCGTCTAGGAACCTTGACAGCTAGTGACGGTGAGTGTCTTGCCTCCGGCCACGGCGCGAGAAGAGGGAAAGGAGGAACTCCAGTCTTCCCGAAAATCCCTTTTGTGTGTTCCAGAAGTAGCTATTGTCCCCCTACAAGATTATAAAAGATTAACCCATCACTCAAAATTCGTACAAAAGCAACCGCCTCAGTGGCTGGAACGACTAGGCCATCCCCTCGACGTCAGCCTCGCCGTAGCTTTGCTCGTCCCGAGACGACCTACGTCACGCTTGCGTCGGATGTCACGTGCTCTAAGCTGGGCCTTCTCCGAGCGCTTGCTAGAGTGGGCCGTTTAAACAAAAAATACAGCCACCAGGCTCAAAATACAAACGTCCGATTGTCATTTACGGATATTGTGGATCATATTCAACCTATTTTTGAACACGACGGATACATTTCAAATTTTGTTGAAGTATCCATTTAAGGTGAAACGAAGTATAAAAAATGCTCCGCATAAACGCAGCAACACAAAAAACACCGAACGAATTTACGCGCTTGCGCCAGTAGCTCTGACAGCGTCGCAACAATGCGGAAGCTACGTTAGCTTTCACGCTGTTGAGCCGCTTCGTATTTTCTAAAGCCCAGTTTACTTGACATAAACCATTTTTTTTCTCCAATACTTACAATTTATATACAAGATGACGTATTCAGAGACCAAACAATTTTTCTTGGGATATACCGCCGGAGCAATATTGAATATAATTTGAGGCACGAGTTCTATAAAATACCACGGTTAAATGCCCAGCGTACACTTCGCGCTTTCCACTTTTGCTCGCTTCCTCCTTTCCTATGTCCTTTCCACGTTTTACCTTGTCCCAACTTGGCTCCCCTCGCAGCTTAGGAGAGGGGAACGCTAAGAGGACTTTTTCTCCCCGCGGAAAGCCGAGGTTGTACGTCTGCCTTTAAGAACAACCTAGGGGAAACCAGAAATTAGGATATTTACTAACTGATTTATGAATCAATCGTACAAATGTTAGGAAGAATACAAGATGGTACTTCTTATTATAGCGAAAAATATTTTGTAAAGAGATATCTTCTGGCGTGTCCGACATTATAAATATAATTCGCCAATTTATTTAAACATATCATTGCCAATGTATTTTAGTGTTTTTTTTAATTGTAGCCACAGTACAAATATTAAGCGTAGTTATTTTCTTCGTGAAAAGTATAATAATATATTATTAGGTTGTTGTGTCTGCCACTGTTTTTTTTTTGTTTTTTTTTTTTTGGTTTTTTCAATATTTAACACTTGAGTTTTGTTTTTCACTGCTAGCTGACGAAACCGCGAACTTGACTGGGCTTTTTTCTGCCTTGTTCTCCGGAGAGCTTGTGCCCAAATAACGAAAGAACAGACAAACAAACCACCCAGAATTATGCAATCATGTTTTGCTACTAGATAAAACCAGAAAAAAATCTGGAAAACCCCTGGCGGTGAAAGTTTTGATCATTGGAAAAACTCAAACGTTCTTCAGGGTGTTCCAATTTTTTTTTACAGGGTCGTTGTTTTTTTTTTTTTGTTTTTTTTTTTTTTATTATTGCAAAAAGAAATTACGCATCGCCGAAAGATCCTTTTAAAGCAAAATGAAGCGCCCGTGGTCCAAACCAGATGCCAAAGTTTCAGAACAAACCGTTATATTATTCAAAAAGTCACGTATTTCCTTAAAACTTCAGTGAAAAAATGGCAGCCGACGGATCTCTCGAGCACATGGGGCTCAATTACGCCAGTTACCGAAAATGAACCTCATTTTCAAAATAAAATTTACAACAAAAAAAAAATCACTTATAACCTTTGACTAAGATAGCGGTTAGATCTCAAACTTTTTGTTCGGACCGCTCGCGCTACATTTGGAAGCAGCCGCTGCGCCATTAAAACCCAAAATCAATCAATCGACATTTGGGAGGCGTATGAGCGTTCAGCGATGCGTAGTTTATTTTTGCGATGGAAAAAAAAAAACTTCATTTTTGGGTGGTTAAATTTATTTGCCCCGGACGGCAAACCCAAATATTTGTCGACGAGTTGATTCTTGACGAGCGCTTAGGCCTTCCGAGTGACGCAGTGCTCATGTGCAATGCGTGAGCTGGGTTCGGCTGACGTGCTTCGGCACCGCGGATGCATCAAAGCAAAAAGGCGGAAAAATTTCGAAGGAAACGAGGTAAAATATAAACCTCTATATTTCCACAGTTTCGTACCAAAAAGCAAGATTTTTTTTTTCGTTCTGCTCTTGTGTACTAGTTTTCTTTTTGAGCACTAAACGGTGTGCGATTAGTAAAGTCCCAATTTATCCCCGTCCCAAATTCACCCGAAGCTCTCTTTAATCTTGCAAAGGAAAACAATATAATTCGGTGCTGCGAAATGTACGCTGCGGAAGATAATCGGTCAGCAGCCAGATCACCATAATGGCACCCGAAGAGGCGTCAATGCGAGCTATCTACTGTCAACGCCCTATCACGACAGTAAGTCAACGTTGCTGTATATTTGGGTCACAGTAGAATCTAATCTCAGTATGTGGTTAGGCTAGCCACCGTTGCGTTGCAGGGTCTATGCTGCGCTATATATATACATATTGTTTGGAGAAGGAGGCAATATTTTCCTATAACAAAGTTCAGCCATTTCCTTAGATTTCTCGTATACATTACTCATGGCATTTTGTGTCCTTTAATGCGTTTATGCATGATTGTTTTTTATTTATTTATATGTCTAGAAAATTCGAAGTAGTACAAGATTAAACTCTAGCAACTGTCGAATTCATTGTAACCCGTAATTAAAAATTGTTAAAAGCGGAATGTGAGGTACAAAATAAACCCAGAAAAAGACGTTCTGAATTTCACCAAGAAAAAAAAAATTTCTAAACAAGAAACTCTAGTTACTCATGAAACAAGCATCGGATTAGTAAGCTTCAGGCAGGACAAGCTTTCGGTTATAGCCAACCAAGCTCCAGGGTCGTACGTCCGAGGAGTTAGCTCTTACGAATACAACAAGGCGTAAAACGAGCGTGCAGGGAGGCTCACGTACCTGCTTGCGCACCACGATGAAAATTCTCACGTAGAAGAAGGCGATGAGCAGTGCCGGGTACACAATGGTGGCGAAGTAGAGAAACACCAGGAACCCGTACTTCATGACGGGCAGGAACAGGCAGGCCCCACTGGATGCGGCCGCGGCGTCGTGCCAGCCCATCAGAGGCAGGAAGCCGAGCGCGAACCCGCACACCCAACATCCCAGTACGACACCGAACACTACGCCCTCCGAAGCGAGCCTCTGGTACGCCAAAGGGTACAGGATGGCCCAGTACCGATCCACCGACACGGCGACCAGATGAAGGATGGACACAGTACAGAGAACCACGAGAAACGACAGCATCGCCACACATAGTATGGGCGAATCCCGCGGCAGCCCGGCCCGGGTCAGAACCGCAGACGGAATGGCCAATAGTCCCACGAGGAGGTCTGCCACGGCCAAGCTGAGGATGTAGTAGTTGGTGAGGCGACGTCGGAGACGCCGTTCCCGGGTGAAGCAGACGAGCACGGCTAGATTTCCGGCGGTCGCAAGCAGGCTGACGCTTATTTCGACGCCCGCGTAAGCCACGGGTGCACGCGGAGTCAGCATTTGCGAGCCGGTTCGGTCGGATGATCCATGTAGCGGAAAAACTGTCCAGGGCGTGGTGCCTTCGAGTGGCGGAATGAGCAGACGACGCGCGCCGGGTGAGCAGACGACGCGAAGAGCGAGCGCGCGCAGCGCGAATCGCGATCGTAGCGCCACAGACTGGCGCTCCCGGATCCTTCAGGAACTACTACTTCGTGGAAATTAGGCTGATAGAAGGGGCAGCGCGCAGCAACTCTGTTTTTCACGGGCGGCGCTCTTGAGCGTGCTTCAGGAAGAAAAATACGAAATAATGCTAAACTCTATTTCACTTGAATGACGACTCGGACTATGAGTTGTCTCAAAAATAATGCGTATATCTTTCTCTTTCTCTCTCTTCTCTCCCTCTCTTTCATCTAAGATGTACCACACTGAAGGTAACAAGCGCGAGCCCCTGCCGAATAATTCACCGAATAAACCGCTTAAAATAAACTACATCCGCTTTTTTTTTACAATTGTTTTGTCGTTTTTTTTTGTGTTTTTTTTTTTGTTTTTTTGCTTTTTTTCATCGGTAAACATTTTTTTGTGAAGGCTTAAAGGTATAAAATACGACAGAGCTGCACGTTACGGGAGGGTGCCCTTCGTCAAATGTTCCTGGCTCAAAATAGTATCATCTTGTTTCATGATAGATATTGTTGCGTTTTAAAGGTGGCTTAAAATAATTTTCGTTTTTACACTTAACATTTCTGGTTCGGCCTCACGTGACCTATCTTGGCCCAAAGAGTTTGCACTCCGCACTTCGTTTTTTTTTTTTTTTTTTTTTAACATTATTTTTATGTACAATTCCTAGCGATGGGAGATTGTTGGCCAATGACTCTGTATTTTCTTTAAATCAAACTTTTCTGAATCGTGTAAGATAGAGCGTGGCAGACACTGTCGAAGGAAGGAACGTTTGTAGTTCTGGAGCTGTACTTACGACACTACGAGCTGATGAGGCCAATCAGACGAGGTTCAAAGGGCACCATCGTGATGTTCGCCTTGTTTCTGTACGTGTTCTATCATCGCTGCATCAATCTTAAGCAGAAAAGGTATAGTGACTTCCGCTTTTGACGCTGCTTGGTGTGTGCTATTAGCTCCTAGCGTTGGCCGCGTCTGGACTTAAGCTAAAAAAAAGGATAGTTACCCCCGGATCATCTGCGAATATCAGCTGTAAACTGGCGGATGTGGATAAAAATGAATCATATTCGGCGGATTGCGGATCGGATGCGCATATCCGCGGGTCCGGATATATATATTTTGTCGAGGCAGCCCATAAACCTGTTAGACCGCACAGTTTTAGAATGAAGAAGTGAATGATTCTATTAGGTGAATCATCTGACGGAGGCTTATCGCGGAGAATAAGTAACCGAGCTTTCGGTTGTACGTTAAAAATCCCCAGGTGATCCAAATTAAAGGGCAACTCCGGCCAAAACTCAAAATGAATTAAATTACTGGTATCGCTTTAGGGACACAAAATACGACCCCAGCCAAAATTTCACGTCCGTGGAACGCCGCATTCTCAACTAATGCCGACAATAAAAACGCGACCCGCCGCGAGCCGCTGCTCCTTGGCGGGCGGTCAGCGGGTTGCCGATCGCTAAAGCAACATCGGGCCGTGATGTCAACATCGTTCTCTTTTTTTCCTCCGTTCCCGAAGGGAGCACGGCGCAGCCGTCGCGCGCGCTTCTTTGAGCCGCTACCACCGCTACTTCGGCTTGTAATTGCGTGTTTAGCCGTTGCTTTTACCTGTAGCCCGTGTAGCTTCGGTATAGCCTTTTGTTTATTTGCTTGTGAAGTCTCCTAGACTCGTTTTAGCGAGCAACTCGGTGCGCCCAAGACTGCCCAGCTGTTCCTCGAACGATGCCGAGTACAACTTAAAGCGCTGTGGGCTGCTCAAACAAGCCGCTGCGCAACCCGGAGGTGCTTTTTCACAAGTTTCCAACGGATCGGAAATTGGAGAAGGTGTGGGTGAACGCTGTTCGACGAGTGGACTTTGGAAAGCCTTGGACGTCGACCCCCAGATCGAAGCTCTGCTCCGATCATTTTTCGCCGGAGAGTTACGAACGAAACCTACGGGTGTTGGTTGCTTGTGGCTCGTCAGCGAAGGGGTCGAGGCTTAAAAAGGATGCCGTGCCGTCGCTCTTTGCCCATCGTACATGTACAGAAAAGGTAAACATGATAAAAGTATCCTGATCAATAAATAAAACAGTCATTGTCAAGTGCAGTGTTGAAGATTGAGCATTCATGCTCCATTGAATGTCTGTTGAATGGGGAATGGTGGGCATGTAGAGTACAACCACTAACTAGCTCCAAACACTGAAGTTTGTAATGAAAACGAAAACAACGTTCTGCTTTGCGTCACTGCTTGTTTACTACGCAATCTCGTGCGCAGTATTCAGGTCCGTAACGACTACTAGCGAACAGCCGGCGCGTGAAGCTCATGCGATATAGACATTCACCTCCCAATCGTTCCAACCCGTTACGCAGAAGTATTAATCAGGGTGTAAGATAGACAGGTGGAGAAACGAGAGCCAAATGAGCGACCGGATTGTGTCCCCCTCGGCTTTCTCTTTTTCTGTGGCGCCATCTATGTGGAGCACCGCGAACTCTCACTCCGGCTGGGCGACCGGTGGCGACCGGCTAAACTGACGGAGATGATTTCTCGTGAATTTTCAATAGAAGACTGTCGTGCTCTCGGTTTATTTTGCGCACTCTCCCATAGAGTTCCACGCAAATTCGATTCTGACTTTTTTTTCCTCTCGCCGCAGCGCCATCTGTCGCAAATCGGGGGTACCCGCAAGCAGACGAGTACACAATCCGGTCATGGCGCTGCGGTCGGCTTCTTCTAGCTACCGCCCGATCCAAAGGGCTCAGCCGTATTCATCCATCCATCCATCCATGGGCCGTTTCCCCACCTGTCTATCTTACACCCTGGTATTAATTAACATTGCGCTTGTGAATACCACAAAGGACTTTAAAGAAATCGCGAAAGTTCGGATTTGTAAGTTACAACTCTCTAATTTGCCCGAGTTCGGCTGGAGGTAAATATAATATTTAAAAATGCAAAAAAAAAAAAAAAAAAAACTTGTTTTAGTCAAAAGTTACGAAAGAAAACTTAAAATCCTATGTATTCTAATAAAAAAAAAATTGTTGTGCGTGGGGGTGGGAATGCGGAAGGGAAAGAAAGTGTTCTCACCTTGCTAACGTTCTCTGTTTTCCTTTATCACCCACAAAAACGTTTGCTAGCTTTGAGAAGAAAATGACTGCCCAAAGAACTTCTTTTTTTTTTTTTAGTGCGGCAAGTTTTTTTTTTTTTTTTATTTGTACAAAGATTCACTGCCTGGACGAACTTATATGGTGAATTAGTGTAGTAGCTTACAAATTCAGCTTTTACGCGCCTGAGAAAAAAAATAACGAAAAAACAGACGTCTACAGCTTGACACACGTCTGTTCGGTTGTTGCGGAACGCGCCGGAGAGCCTCAAAGCTTCGTGTCTGGGACTGACCCGCCGCGCGAAAGCGCCAGCACTGTACGTCACTGGCAGCGCGGCGAAGAGCAACGCCGCTCCGTGCACGGAGCCCCGATGACAATTTAGGCCTAGCGACGAGTGCGGGAGACCGCACGCACGCCGACAGCTGCCGAGTACGGCACCGAAAGAGTTCACTCGTTTTCCAGTCGCTAGCTTTTGGGTATACAAGCAACGAGTACGGCACGGCATAGCGCACGCGCGGCGGCGGCCGCCGAGTACGCCACCGAACGAGTTGACGGGTTTTCGAGTCGCTAGCTTTTGGGTATACGCACTAACTCTTGCTACATATGCTGGATAACTACCACATATACAGAATTAAAACAAAATCAGTTTACCTTCTATCTTTAGACGACTAGCGCAGCAGAGGTAGGTGCCACTTAGACTGTGTACTCGCTGAACGAGAACGATCTTGGCGTCACGTCCACATAGCGGCTGATTTCCAGTGTTGCCGGAACTTCGAGCGGCTAGTTTCGGTTTTGTCGGCCGCGCCCCAAACAAAACTTTGAGACGTCGATATCTTTAAAACTACGCACAATAACGAGAAAAAAATTACACCTTGCAACTCAGGGGCGCTAACTGCGCTAAAAACAGCCATAATCCCAAAATCGAAATTATGGACCGGAGTTGCCCTTTAATCATCAGTCCTTCGCCGGGGCGTGCCAGACGCCCGTCGTTGGTTTGGCACGTAAATCCCTCAAAGTGGACTATAAAGTGCATCGTCGAATGCAGACTTGTACGTAATCCGTTACAAGTAACGAAATTACTTGTAATCCCTTACATTTATCAGTAATTTTGTAACGGAATAATTACATATTGTCTAGACTAATTTTCAAGTAATTCCCTTACATTTTTTACGTAACGGATGCCTTGTAATCCGTTACATTTTTTTGTCACAACCAACCCCCCCCCCCCCCCATTCTAAATAAAGTTTTTTTTTTTTTTTTTTTTTTTTTTTGTAAAGTCGAGCACAGTGACACTGTCACGCGAATCGACCAGCGCAAAGGGAGGCTTGGCACTCTTCAGTTCCGCAAACCTTTTCTTGCAACACCAAGCCCCTGAATCTTACTTTTTTTTAGACCCTAACATCAGTGTCAAAAAATCCAAATAAACAATTCTACAAAAAAAAAAAACGGGGGGCAAGTTATTTTCGTTTTTTTTTTTTAGTCCCTTTGTTGTTTTCTTTGCGATCGAAGACGGGGAGAGGAGGACACCAGGTGATTGTGCGCATCTTCAAGAAGCTCGAGGCGAGGCGGTAAGTGCACTGAAAAGAATTAACAATGTCCTTCTCGGTTATAGTCACTACGACCATTTTCATAAGTTCACAACACGAGACAACGCTCCGTCTACCCTTTTTGTGAGTCAGCTTTTTGCGAGCACTTAGAAAATGGTAATAGTCTTCCTTTCTTCTTCTTCCTGTTTTGCCCCAGCAGGACGCATCTTATCTTAAGCAGATATTTTTACAAATAAAACATAATGGTGGCTGACGTAGACTTGATATTCTGGGC